TTAACTACAACCCTCTGTTGCCTGTCACTCAGCCACTGCCTTACCCATTCAACAATATTGGAATCCAAATGTAAAGATTGCAGTTTATTGATAAGCCTTCTATACAGAGCCTGGGATGGATCTGTGCCATGTGAGTGGAGTTCATACCCTATCCCTCCACACTATGCTGTTGTGCGTTTTCTGTTTTTAGGTATCCTGTTATACTCTTATTCAGAACATATGTTCTAGTATATACATATTTTTTTTGTCTTTATTTATATACACCCCGCTGGTAGGTTTTTGTTTCCTAATAAAATAATTAAGACCTCACTGTACCTAGAATAACACAAATTAACCCAGCATGCCCACAAACATTTCATTTAATAGCTTTTTCTGCTGTATGGATCTTTCGATGCCTAGAAAGGTGTGCAGCCTGGGTAAAACATTTCCCACACTCAGAACACGAGAATGGTTTTTCTCCTGTGTGAATCCTTTGATGTCTCAAAAGATCATACTTTAAGTTGAAATATTTCCCACAGTCAGTGCACTTAAATGGGTTTTCTCCTGTGTGAATGAGTTTATGTGAAGCAAGCTGTGAGGCCAAGGTAAAACATTTCCCACAGTCAGTGCAACTGAAGGGCTTTTCTCCTGTGTGAATTCTCCTGTGTGCAGCAAGATTTGCAGTCCGGCTAAAACATTTCCCACATTCCTTGCACTTAAATGGTTTCTCACCAGTGTGAATTCTCTGATGAGAAATAAGATCATGTTTTAGGGTAAAGTATTTCCCACAATAAGTACATGAAAATGGTTTCTCTCCTGAGTGAAACTTCAGATGCCTGTTAAGATCCTGCTTTCGGTTAAAACATTTTCCACATTCAGTACATTTAAATGGTTTTTCTCCTGCTCGAATCCTCTGTTTAAGACTTGACAGCTGGCTTACATTCTTCCCACATTCACAACACACAATTGGCTTCTCTCTTCTACAATTTTCCTCATGAATAACAAACTCCGGCTTAGAATAAATGTCCATTCCTGTTTCAGAACAGTTTTTATTTTCTGTGTCAGTTGATGGCTCCTTGATACCCTGTGTGTTTTTTAAAATATTTTTGAAGCTCTCAGTAGAGATAAATATTTCTTCTGTTTTGTATGTGACCTGGGAAATGTTACCAGATGTATAATTAATATTTGTATCGATGTTTCTTGATTCAGTTAGGAACTTGTTATCCGTTCTATTTTTTGAATTTATACAATCTGCAATATATGTAAATGTATCTTCTCTATTTATAGTTTCAGGGCAAATGTAAATGTCACCATTTTTGTGATAACCTTCTTCCAATGAGACTGGTTCTTTCTTAATATGAGTAGATGGATATTCTAACTGTGTTTTGGGTGTAGAAATGTCTGTGAGATTTTCTCCTTTACATGAAGTTGGCTCATCCTTAATAAAAGCAGATGGATGTCCTCTCTGTGGATGGTCTATGGGTGTATAAATATCTGTGATATTACTTTTTTCCCACAAGGCTGGTTCATCCTTAATATGAGTAGATGAATAGTCTGTCTCTGCATATTCTTTGGGTGTAAAAATTTTGTGGAGACTTACTTCTTCACACAAATGTCTTTTGCTAGATTTGTTGAACTTTGGAAACGTCCCTCCATCAATGATTTTGTTTTCAAAATCAGGCAAAGATACAGGCAATATACATGTAAGGGTTCGGAAGTCATCAAGTATACAATTATCTGCTGGGAAAAAAAAATGACAAGATTATTATGATAGCAACCACAATCAAAATTTTACCATTCTGGAGCAAAAACAAACCAAAAAAACAAACAAAAGAAAAAACAGATTTCAATGTAAATCTGCTGAAGGGTGACTCTACCCTCATAACAACTTCACTTCATTGAAAGAATTATGGGGCTGGAGTCCCTGGATGACCTCTTACCTTAGGGCAGGGGTAGTTAATTTTTAGCACTCCAGATGTTGTGAACTACATCTCACATAAGGATCTTACATCCATAATGCTAGCAAAGCGTCCAGGTAAATGTAGTCCACAACATCTGGAGTGTTGAAGGTTGCCTACCCATGCTTTAGAGGGGTGCACTGTATTCAGTGGTTTAACCCCAACGTTGTCGCACTAGATGCCTATCCTAGGAGCCACCTATATCCCTCCTCTCACCTAAAGCACTGTTGCAGAGGTCTTGACTTGGGCACTGATGTTAGACTAAGAACACCATGTGACATTCTCACTCTGGCTACCCATTGCAATTAGCAAATTTGGCATATAACGCCAGGATACTGGAGAGAGAGTCAATGGCAGTACACCTTCCCTCCATATCCTCCCCTTAACCCGCCTACCCTTACATATATCCCCTGCAAAAATGTTGTGTGATGTCCAGGGATGAAAATATGGCTACAGGCAGAACATGCGCTGGAAGGGAGGTATGTTTACCTACTTTCTGCAGGGGGCAAACCTGTATTAGAAAAGTATCTAACCAAATACCGTGCTTCCATTATCATTATTGGCATTTATATAGCACAAACTAATTCTGTAGTGCTTCACAGTATACTGAGAGGGTGATTTAACAGTTAATGAGACAATTACAAAAACTTACAGGAAAAGAAGGTTGAAGAGGACCCTGCTCAAACAAGCTTACAGTCTAAGGGAGGTGGGGTATAAAACGCAATAGGACAGGAGATAGCAATCAAACAAAGTTGGAGTGAGGCAGGAGGAGAGAATAGAGTGCTGCCCATTAGTAGAGAGCAAGGGACAGGTTTGTGAGGTAGAGGTTACTCTGGGAGGTCATAAGCTTTCCTGAAGTGATGGGTTTTAAGGCACTTCTTAAAAGATTGAAGACTAGGGGAGAGTGTGATGGTGGTAGGCAGGCTATTCTAAAGGAAGGGAGCCACCCGTGAGAAGTCTGGTGCGAGCAGCGGACAGGATAAGGTCAATGGCAGAGAGGAGAGACCGAGAAGGGGCATACCTATGGATCAGTGAAGAGATCTAAGAGGGGCTAGAATTGGTCAGTGCTTTATAGGTATGGATTAGTACTTTGAATTTACTCCTATAGGATACAGGAAGCCAATGTAATTACTGACAGCAGTGTGAGAGGAGCGACTGGAGAGGAAAATCAGTCTAATTGCTTGGAGTAACCCGTTAAACTTAATAGGTCGATATGGCAAGGTTAATGAGGGGAAAGAGATGTTAAGGCATATACAAGGCTCATTTGTGAATTTCTTAGACTGGTAAAATTGGCATTAAAAATTATCAGAATTCTCACCCTCCAAACATGCAACTGTAACCCAACCCTGACCCTAACTCCCCGTCCAATCTCGCTACTGCCTTTTGCATCCAAGATCCTTGAAAGATTTGAGTATGCGAGACTGACAGACTTCCTCAAGTCCAACTCTTTGCTAGACCTGCTTCAGTCTGGTTTACGCAATGACCAAAGTATCCAGTGATCTACTTGCTGTAAAATCTCGTGGTCACAACGCTATCCTAATTCTCCTTGACCTTTCTATGGCTTTTGACACTGTTGATCATCAACAGCTTTTTCTCATCCTCCGCAATATTGATCTACAAGATATCGCCCTCTCCTGGTGCTCTTCCTACCTCTCCGAGCGCTCTTTCAGTGTTTCTTTCTCTGGCTCTGCTTCTTCTCCCCACCTCCTCTCTATTGGTGTCCCCCAAGGTTCAGTCCTTGGTCCCCTACTGTTCTCCATCTATACTTCCTCCCTTGGTAAACTCATTAGCTCCTTTGGCTTCCAATATAATTTCTATGCAGATGACACGCAAATAAATCTGTCCTCTCCTGACCTCTACCTGTCCCTCTTGACTAGTGTCTCTGACTGCCTCTCTGCTATTTCTAACTGGATGGCTGCCCACTTCCTTCCAATTTAAAATGGTCCTTGCTTTCAAATCTCTACAGAATGCTGCTCCCACCTATCTATCCTTCCTAACACACAAGTCTGTCCCGTCTAGGCCCTTACTCTCTGCTGAAGACTTACGTCTATCTTCTGTCCATATTCCCACCTGTGATGCTCACCTTAAAGACTTCAAGGGCTGCTCCGTTCCTGTTGAACTCACCCAGTCTCCACGTGTTAAATTTTTTTTTAAAACACTTCATAAAAGCGTATCAATTAAACTGTTAATAGCTCCCGACTGATTCCTCTCTTGCAACTGTCAGTCTAATACTAGACTTACCTTTTGTGTCACTTTACCCCACTCCCTCTAGCATGTAAGCTCATTGAGCAGTGCCCTCAACCCCTCTGTTACTGTGTGTCCAATTTGTCTGGTTACAACTACATTTGTTTGTCCACCCACTGTAAAGCGCTGCGGAATTTGTTGGCGCTTATATAAATAACAACATGATAATCCAAAGGAAGCAGGATTGCGATTGTGTCACCATCATTACAATAGTCCGGCAGTCATTAATTTGTTGATAAATATTAAACATGACATTGTAATTTACCCAATTATGAATTCTATGTATTGCCACATCTTTCTTTATTTGCTACGGGACAAAAAGGTTTACCAGATCAGTTTTGAAGATCAAAACTCTCATTACCCAGTAAGCTGTGAGGCTGGTGGTTATCCATTATCACATCCTTGAGATCCTTGTGTCCTTCTATATAGTCCCACTCCTCCATGGAGAAATAGACTGTGACATCCTCACATCTTATAGGAACCTGGTACACACAATAATACAGTCAGCATCAAGACACATCGCTTGGTTTTACTATATAATGTCCCATGCCCAGCAGTTTCACCTCTCCAGTCAGCATGTGGATGATCTGATTGGTCAGTTCCAGGATCTTCTGCTCATGGCTCATGAAGGGGGGTGGAGGCGCCTTGATGGGGCTCTGGGTCCTGCAGAATGTTTCTGATACACTTGGACCGCTGCAGTGTAGTATACTTAAACCATGCTTCTTCACAACCACATGGTCCTAAGTATTGTGTGGCAAAGAAAGAAAATGGCCATTTACTGGAAGGAGTAACCACGGTTCATATTATAAGCAGTAAATACTTAGGAAAGTTTTCATCTTTCCTTGCAGCCGAGACTGCTGCCATTCCTAGAATCCCAAGCTTAATTTCTGCCTCTGGTGGAAATGGTTTAACATACTGAAACTCTGCATTTCACTCTCCTAACATGTATTCATCAACTTATTGTTTTCCATGCACAGCTGCCAGATTTATGACCAAGGGCATTTATTTTCAATGCAGAGTATTCTACAGTCAGTTTAGATTTTGGGTCCCACCTATTCCTATAAAATATATATATATTTTTTTTTAAAGGGCTACTTACTTCTAACCTAGGAACAGGAAGTTTTTCTTGCTCCATCTCTACTCAGCTCTTAGAGCAGCATGGTAATTATGAAACATCCACTGATCGCAAAGCGATAGTTTTTCATTGAGAAGCACTAAAGCCAAGTAAGTTAGAGCTTCTCGGAGGGTGCAATTTAGGACATTTAGAAAAGTGCTAATATTTTTTACATTTACTGATTCGTAAATGCATGATGCTGCTAAGCTCTGGGACTGTTCTCGTAGAGAAGAATCGGAATGACTGAGCATGGCACTTGCCAGTCATGACCAGTAGGTTCCCAATGCTTCCATATGAGAAGCACTGGATTGTACTGGAGATTATCTAGATGGAGGAGGGAGCCCACATCATTTTCTATGGTTCTCAGATCTCTATTGTCCTTGTCCTCTTGAGTATTCAATAGCTGAATCTGCAACCATGTCCCTTTTCTAATGTGTTCTTAGTGTGAAAGTCAATGTGACATTACCCAGAATCCCTCACCTCTCCAGTCAGCAGGTAGATGATCTCCATAATGACATTACCCAGAATCCCTCACCTCTCCAGTCAGCAGGTAGATGATCTCCATAATGACATTACCCAGAATCCCTCACCTCTCCAGTCAGCAGGTAGATGATCTCCATAATGATATTACCCAGAATCCCTCACCTCTCCAGTCAGCAGGTAGATGATCTCCATAATGACATTACCCAGAATCCCTCACCTCTCCAGTCAGCAGGTAGATGATCTACATACTGACATTACCCAGAATCCCTCACTTCTCCAGTCAGCAGGTAGATGATCTCCATGGTGACATTACCCAGAATCCCTCACCTCTCCAGCCAGCAGGTAGATGATCTCCATAATGACATTACCCAGAATCCCTCACCTCTCCAGCCAGCAGGTAGATGATCTCCATAATGACATTACCCAGAATCCCTCACCTCTCCAGCCAGCAGGTAGATGATCTCCATGGTGACATTACCCAGAATCCCTCACTTCTCCAGCCAGCAGGTAGATGATCTCCATAATGACATTACCCAGAATCCCTCACCTCTCCAGTCAGCAGGTAGATGATCTCCATAATACATTACCCAGAATCCCTCACCTCTCCAGTCAGCAGGTAGATGATCTCCATACTGACATTACCCAGAATCCCTCACCTCTCCAGTCAGCAGGTAGATGATCTCCATAATGACATTACCCAGAATCCCTCACCTCTCCAGTCAGCAGGTAGATGATCTCCATAATGACATTACCCAGAATCCCTCACCTCTCCAGTCAGCAGGTAGATGATCTCCATACTGACATTACCCAGAATCCCTCACCTCTCCAGTCAGCAGGTAGATGATCTCCATACTGACATTACCCAGAATCCCTCACCTCTCCAGTCAGCAGGTAGATGATCTCCGTACTAACATTACCCAGAATCCTTCACCTCTCCAGGCCAGGTAGATGATCTCCATAATGACATTACCCAGAATCCCTCACCTCTCCAGTCAGCAGGTAGATGATCTCCATGGTGACATTACCCAGAATCCCTCACCTCTCCAGCCAGCAGGTAGATGATCTCCATACTGACATTACCCAGAATCCCTCACCTCTCCAGTCAGCAGGTAGATGATCTCCATAATGACATTACCCAGAATCCCTCACCTCTCCAGCCAGCAGGTAGATGATCTCCATACTGACATTACCCAGAATCCCTCACCTCTCCAGTCAGCAGGTAGATGATCTCCATAATGACATTACCCAGAATCCCTCACCTCTCCAGTCAGCAGGTAGATGATCTCCATACTGACATTACCCAGAATCCCTCACCTCTCCAGTCAGCAGGTAGATGATCTCCATACTGACATTACCCAGAATCCCTCACCTCTCCAGTCAGCAGGTAGATGATCTCCATACTGACATTACCCAGAATCCCTCACCTCTCCAGTCAGCAGGTAGATGATCTCCATAATGACATTACCCAGAATCCCTCACCTCTCCAGTCAGCAGGTAGATGATCTCCATACTGACATTACCCAGAATCCCTCACCTCTCCAGTCAGCAGGTAGATGATCTCCATAATGACATTACCCAGAATCCCTCACCTCTCCAGCCAGCAGGTAGATGATCTCCATGGTGACATTACCCAGAATCCCTCACCTCTCCAGTCAGCAGATAGATGATCTCTAGAGTTAGATTCAAAATCTTTTCAGTCACTTGATTGCTGTCCTTGTTCATTATCGCACTTTACTCTGATGCCGTGAGAATGGATCGATTCTGCAATTACTGTATATTGTTTGTTTTAATTAAAATTATTTAATGTGAAAAGAATGGAAAACATGTAGTTATAAATCCATCAGGATGGTCTGAAATTATGTATTTAAAGCTATATCTAACCCCAGTTAGCTCCATCATTCAATTTAGAATATTTGGAAAACATTTTTTAGAAGGCAAAGAGTGAGTAATACCAACCACAAATCCTATAACTGTTCCTATTGTTATATGTGATGGACCGCTGGCACTCCGACCAAGTACCTCCACCAAGCGATGCTCCTAGTGCTCGCGGAGGACTCCAACCACTAGACATGTGCAATTCGTTTGGGTCCGAATATGCATTTGGACGAATTTCAGGCAATTTGGACACTTCCTAAGTATTGGCTAAGTACTGATATCTACCTACCTACCCAGTGGAAGAATGAAGAATGTTACACTGTATACCAGTTTAAATTAAAAGTATACAAACATAGCCAGGATTCCGCTGTAAGCATTTGCAACACTTCCAACAATCAAGTAACATACATTCATATAAAATGTAAGTTACTTAGCCAGTCAATGCAATGACAGGAATGAATAAGTAGATAACTCCCTAATTCCCACGGTATTAGGGAGCCATCTACTAAAAGACCTAAATTGGTCTTTCAGCCAAATTTACTAACACTAAGTAAAGATTACTTAGTATTAGTAAATTATGCCACTACTCGCTATACCGCCAGTAGGGGCATGTCTAGTAAACAGTGAAACAAAAAAATAAAGCTACTCCCTCTGGAGCCACCACCAGTGCCAAGCGGGTGGGGGCTTCTAACCTGATGGGGGACCAATTGCGTGCCCCCCTGACCCCCACCCCTTACCATTTGATTTATTTTTTACAAAAATCTTTTTTCAGCCCCCCAAAAAGGCCAAATAAAAATCCATTAAAAAAAAAAATATATAATATATATATATATATATAATAATAATAATAATAATAATAATAATAATTAAAAAAAAATCAAAAAAAAAATCCATCTTAACCCATGGGGGGCTCCGCACAGACTGAGCTCTGCAGGGTGGGGGAAGGCTTATAAAGCCTTGCAATTAGGCTCAGAGCACTCTGGTTGGTTGGTTGGATTAAGCCATCCAATCAGAGTGCTCTGACAGGTAAATGAAGAGACAGGTAAGTCTCTACATTTACCTGTCACAGCACTCTGATTGGTTAGCTTGAAATCCAGCCAATCAGAGTGCTCTGTGTCATTTTACACAGCGTGGGAAAGTTCTTTGGAATTTTCCCACGCTGTGTAATTTGACTCATAACAACTCTGATTGGTGGATTGAAAGTAACCAGAGTGTTGAGTCAAATTACACAGCGTGGGAAAATTCCAAACAACTTTCTCACTCTGTAAAATGACACAGAGCACTCTGATTGGCTGGATTTCAAGCTAACCAATCAGAGTGCTATGACAGGTAAATTTACATTTTTTTATTTAGGGCCCCCACCCGCCACTCAGGAGTGGGGAGGACAATAGGTCCTGTACCCCCCTTTTCTGATTTAGGGCCCCGATCTGCCACTCAGGGGTAGGATCAATAAGTCACCCTTTAGTTTAAAAGCCCCCACTCATGTGGCACGGGTGGGGGTACACTTTTTAACAGTGAGCAGCCACTGGTTTAGAGTTTCATGTATAAACGGGTGAAGTTTAGAGTTTCGTGTATAAATGGGTGAATTTACTGACTGAGCATTGGTACCATTTTACCAGACTGAACGTGGAATTAGGTGTTTGGGCAGAACAAAAGTCAAACTTTTTTTTTTTTTTTTACATTGGACTGCTAAGGAGCATCTCACATTACTAGAAAAATACACATTTCTTTATTTTATTTTAAACCCGTACGGACAGAGGTAATCCACGTTCTGAACGAAAACAGAACCTTGAATCTGAGCTATAGGTTTCTTTCACCATATTTCAGGTGTGTCTCCATACATATAATGCATCATTTGTTATAGGACATAAATTGATTTAATGTGACACATTTAACTTCTCATTCAGAATATAAAAATTACACAAGTGATTTAAAAAACCCCCAAAATGTTTCAGATTTTTGGCAATAAGGTTTAATTAATATATATATATAAATAATGTAACTTAATTGTCCTGATTTACAGAGTATATAATAAGTCTAGGATTTCTGTTTATGTTTGAAAGTTACGGGTCACAAAACACTAGGTATAAAATAAAATTTAAAAGTGGAGGAATTGTAAAATTTAGTATGTTTTTCTTGTAAACACAAAAGTATATATTTACATTTACACATTATGAAGGCATTTAACTGCCAACCTCTGCTAAATATTGTAGTAATTCATGTTTTGGGAGGGGGAGGAAGGGTCTGATTGGTAACATACACACCTATACCAAGTTGTTGTTTTTTATGTGTATTTCGTAAAACCTGATGTGTGCTGCTACTGTGCAAAACCCCATGTGTTCTACTACATCTTCCGATTACAATAACCCCAATGTATGCCACTATCCTGTAATGCTACGGTGTCATAAGAGACCTGGTTGTCACAGCAAGGGTGCAATATTCATTATTGCACTATGGAATATTGTTCTTTAATGTAATTTGTGTACTGCATAAATGACCTGCCTGGTAGAGGTGGTATTGTCAATGTCAAAAGGGGTTAATTTTATTGTAAGAAAGGTCAGAAGGTTTATAGTCTTAATTCCTCTTTGAAGCTTGGACCCCCACAGAGGTCAGATGACAGAAGGGTTCATGTAAAATGGAATAGGAATGTGAAAAGGGTCTGATGGGTTACCATTTGGATGGATCCTGTGATTAATCAAAGGCTCTGCGAGGTGTGAGATTCTACACTGGAAAAGCCTGAAAGTCTGGCTTCAGCCATATGGCCTGTACCTTTTAACTGAGAAGTCAATCTCTTTGATATGTAAATGGACATTAGCCTTGTTCCAGTACCATATTTTTAAAAATAAACAAAAAAAGAGAAAAGAAAGTTTATCCACAGATTAATAATTAACCTTATTTTGTTATATTTGGAATGTGACAAGCACAAATTCCTAAACAAGCCCTATAACTTAACCATAGGGGAAGGGATTGTGATGTCCGCTATATTGGGTCGCAAGTGAGGAATATCTATGGAATGGAAAAAAATAACAGATTCATAGATGCAATTATTCTTTCTGTATCAAGTACATAAGAGAAGATAGAACCAAATGTTTACGTTTGGATTGATGTTGGTCTTAAAACACAAGGGGGTGGTTACTTATGGTCCCTATAGATACGCCTTAACGCCACCTCTACACCTGGCATGGTAATCCACAGGATATATATCCAATGATACTGAAATGTCTTTGTACTTGCTTGGGGCCAGAATCTAATTCTAAGTGAGTCACCATCTTTCTTACCAGAGACCCCGGGGCAGAAGTTTTATGTTGAAAGAAAAAAAAAAAAAAAAAAACTACTGAGTAAGTAATTAGTCCTTCTGTTAATGCATGCCTTTTGTTCTTATCTGCTGTTGGTGTAAATAATTTTGATTGTTATCTAGATTTTGTATGCACGGATTATTTTTTGCTCATAATAAATATTCCTTTATTTATTCTGCCTTTGTCTGGTAAAGAATCAGGTTACCTGAAGAGACTAAATTAGTGTTTTATAATTGCTTAGATATATTATTAGATTACTATTAATAGTGAATTTTTACCCTTTCACAACCACAACTCAGTCACGCACATTCTTGAAGTAGGGTGCGTTCGTGACACTGGCCATTTCAGTTTTAACAGTTAAAATTTGAGAGAAGGATTTGATGGGTCTGTCTTATTTTGGGTTGTTAAAGCTGTTTGATTGTTGAAATTACCCCAAAGTGTCTCATATGGTGTATATTGTGCATTCCCTCCCCCCCACTGGGTTATGTCAAAGATTGTGGCAATTTATTTTAATATAAATACTTGGTTACATATTAACTGGGCATTTTTCAAATCCGTGTGCCACTGATCAACCTCCTAAAATATTGCATGGCAAACAAACATTCTGAATAAAACAATACCTCCAATGTATGTTACAGTGCCATGTAAGAGACTTGACCATTTCAGTTTTTATAGTTAGAAGTTTGAGAGATCAATCGGATAGGTCTATTCCGCATTTTACTAGTTTCACAGCCATAAATGCCAACCATTTGTGAAAGCAGTCACTGTAGGCCATATACAATATTTTTAGCCTTATTCTACATTCATTTTAGTAATAATTTTGTTCATACATTATAGTATTATAAAATTTATAAAATACTTTTTCATACACATAATTTAGCTGTATATTTTGTAAACTTGGTATACTACTGGAACATAAAACAATTCACTAAATTGTGCTCCAATTTATCTCCCTAGTACAGAATGACCACCTTTGCATACCCTTGTCAAGAGTTTTGTACAAATCCAGGAGGTATGATAACTGCCGATTCCAGTTTGTTTGTTTTATGGGAAATTGAAGATGGATCTATTGCACATTTTGGGCATTTAGCTCACATATTTAAGTCCCTCCATAAACATAAACCATTTGAAAAGTGGATGCCATTGGAGACTATCACATGACATGTTTTTTAGATTTATGAAGGTGGAATTTTTCACCTTTTTTTTTCAAAGCTTCAATATCCAGCCACTCCTGGGTTTATATTCCTCTAATCTAAACAATATCCAGCCATTCCTGGGTTTATATTCCTCTAATCTAAACAATATCCAGCCATTCCTGAGTTTATATTATAATCTAACACTATCCAGCCATTCCTGGGTTTATATTATAATCTAACAATATCCAGAAATTCCTGGGTTTATATTATAATCTAACACTATCCAGCCATTCCTGGGTTTATATTATAATCTAACACTATCCAGCCATTCCTGGGTTTATATTATAATCTAACACTATCCAGCCATTCCTGGGTTTATATTATAATCTAACAATATCCAGCCATTCCTGGGTTT